CGACGCTTCTTTCACAGATTAAATCACAGCCGGGCCGAGCGTAAAACAGACAGTGGTGCATTTACGCTGTTTCTTTTTTCTTTCTTCTTTTTTTGGAGGGGGGAGTCCCTGATCGAGGCTTTCTTCGCTAGTTTCATAAACTGTTCTCGCAGTTGGTGCACTTCACCTCTACATCTGAACTTGTATGAAATTCCATCGTTTTGAAATATGAAACCTCCGCTGCTTCACAAACTCTGAGTGGCTTTCTCAACTTTAAAAGCAGACAAACGAGCGCAACAATGTTCAGAAAGAAAAAGAAAGTGTATTTGTGTGCGGTGTGTGCGAGCTTTCAGCAGATTACTTACTTCTCTCTGGGTGAATTCCCCTCTAATTCTCGACTTTAAAAAAAATCTTCTCAGGCGAAAAAAGAAAAAAATATATAGATGTGTCTTCTTTCCTCTTCTCCTCCTCTTCCTAACTTGCAGATGTGCCTCTAGAGTTGCCTGGTTTTTTTTTTTCTTTTTTCTTTTTTTACGCTGCAACTCCAACTCCAAAACGGCGCTGCCAGACTTTTTCCTCTTGTCTGTCTTTCTCCTCCTTCTCACAGTTTGCTGTGTTCAACCACCGCCGGACTAACACCATCAGCCTGCCGATAATATCTGCCGATAGCAGACCGCAGATGTGCGTAAAAACAACATAAGCGTCAGAGAAGCGCATGGAGAGTTGTTATTACATTTAGAGCGGTTTTTTTTTTCGGGAAGAGGGAGAGAGAGAGAGAGAGAGTGAGGGCGAAGTGTGGGACTCCAGCTGCTCCTTCCCTCGCTTGACTCCTCCCTTCGGATTGCTCCCTCCTTTACTCACTGCCTACTCCTTTTTTATTTTGTGCAGGCTACCCCTTTCTTTCTCTTTCTTTCTTTCTTAGTAAGCATTTTAAAGACTTGTTCCTCAGTAGTACTATTTCTGTAGTAGAAATAAACCTAGAGGGGAGAAAGAACAAAATAAAACTGAAGTTTCAGTCCTTACACCACAAAGAAGAGGAAAACAGGTCCAGGTTAAGCATGAATGACTGCATTTTAGGGACCAAGAGTTAATTGGATCCAGGCTTTAACTAAAATAGCTGAAATAATCTCATAGATCTCAGTTGAAAACACCCACTTTTTAATGTAGAAACTCATACATACATTTAACTGCAGATTTATGAGAGCCTCCTGGGCTCAGCCTTCAGAGTCATACCTACTAATGCTTCAGCAGAGGGAAGCCCTCCTGTAGGGTTAGGTGTAATCAATATACATAATCAATATACAGGGAAATTATGTGGTAAGAGAGGTCTTTAGGGTGCAGTTTCAATCAATGAAGTGGTGGGAGTTTGGGAAGGAAAATCAACCGTTTAACCAGCATTTGAATGTGTGTGTGTGGCCGAGAGGTCAGGTCCGTCAAGTCTATTTGTTCCTCATTGTAACACACATCCAATCGGCTGCTGTGACAAATGACTAAACCGTTTGATTTAAAGACAAATATCCGTCTTTTAAGGCTGCCTTATAATCACTTTCCTGACACTTATTATGCTGATAAAGTCAGCAATGACTAATTACCACCCAATCAATCAGAGCTCAGGATCTTCTGTCACAACTGTCAACGTCTTTGTCATCGTTATAAGTGTCGGGATTTTGACTTTGTCGCAATGTGAAGATGGATTTCGGATGTCAGTTAGAAGCAAGGTGACAAAACTGTAAACTATAATGAGTGTGTGAACGATTATGTTGGTTTTCATGGGTGTGAAGTTTCTTTGGCATCCATAATTTTTTTTTAAAGATATTTATGTTTAGTTATTATTTTAAGGAGAAACAGACAAAATAAACAAGGTTAAGAGGTCATAAAACTAAATATAGACGTGTTCCACGTGCACAAGAATGGAGTATGAGAATATGAATAGAAAACGCTCACGTCTGTAGCTACAGGAAGTCGGGCCGAGAGAGGAGACAGTCAAAGGTGCTCTGTAAGACAGCCGCTAATTCTCCTGTCAGTTTGTCAGGCGGTGCTCATCTGGCCCGGACTACACAGAGATAAAGTCCTTGTTATGAATCTCTCAAAGAGAATCCAAGGAACGTGGTAGTAGAAGTGGGAGGCTGGGGGAGGTGAAGGGTGGAAAGAGGATCGGGGCGAGGTAGGGGAGAACAAGAGGGTAAAGGAGGAGGGAGGAGGTGCACATGGGCATCAGTGGGGTTAGCGGCTCCCGAAAGTATTTCATCAAAGAGGGCCAGGATCCTGGGGATTGAGATTCTGCCTGGAGGCAAGTAACCAACGGTCTCCCAAGAACATATTCCAAAGTAGGACTCACAGAGCCAAAGCACACATCAAAAGCGCCTCTGTAGCCAAAGCGATTCTGGAGGAGAAAGAAAGGGGTTCAGGTCCCTTCTTGGCCCTCTTTAAGCCCCAGATCTCACCCCAATTAAGAAGGAACTACTGTTTGTTCCAGACCCTGAGATCTACAGACAGGGAGGTGCGCTCACTAAGGTGGACGCTCGGGCGTGCTCACAAACAGGCACACAAACACACACCGACACACACGCGGGATGCAGACATCTTATCCCTGCGCACCCAGTCTTACTTTTCACCAGCTCACAATCGAGAAGGAGCGCCGTGCGTTTAAGATCAGCATCTGGGCTCATTTCTCAAATAATCACCAACCCCGCAGAGCGTGTTCCCAGTTTCAGATGATCTCACTGAAATAAAATGTAGCGCTCGGTTTGTCCGCGTACTGTATGTTACACATGTAACAGTAAATCAATACTTGGCAGAGTGTTGCGTAGGCATTTGGATTTTTTATTTTTTTTTTGCCTTTAATTCTTCTCTGGTGGACAGATGTCACAGTGAAATGGATACAGCAGAATAAGCATATTATATCCACACAGATGTGACCGCTGGAAATGGAGCGGCTGCATGAAACAGAGGAATGACAGGGGCGACTGTACTGTTTGCTGCAAAATGGAGAAGTTGTATTCAGATTACAGAGTTTTTGAAGTGTTTTCGGCTGTAGACAAACACAGGCCGAAAGTAGCGAGGAGCTGAATGTGAGTCAAGTTGTCAGTAAGTTTTTACTAAGCAACCAAGTCTCAGCTGATCTCTGCCTTTACATGACACAAATTGCAGGTTATTAAATCTGTTTATGCTCACAAAGTAGTATTTTAATCTTCTCGATTGGAAATAAGGGCTAGCAATTTTAAAACTAAACTCCAAGACTTAGGCATTTGGTGGCTGCTTGGTTACAAAACTTACTATTCAGTTCTGACTCCATGCCCAGGTTCTCCCAGGTTGTTTATGTCTTTAACATGTTGTACCTAATATAAGAACATAATCACAAAAAGAGTGAAATTTTAAAATCTACATCTTATAAAACATGTTGATATTAACCAGTCACCATCATTTTTTGTCCATTTTATCATTATAAGAAGAGAACACTGCACTTTCTGGAAAAATATTTAATTGCAGATATTAAAGGGAAAGCAATAAGCCATTAGCAGTGTAGTTTAAGACAAACATCATTCACAGTATATAGTGCCAGCTCGATATATTGGGTACCCTATATGTCCTTCAAAGTATTGAGGAGCCATATATATATCTCAAAAATATAAGCGTATAAAAGCGAAATGTGTGTGTATGGACACGTACCTTAACATACAAATGAGCAAAAACACAGATTTCCTTCGCTTTGAGGGGCCTGACCTTTTAACCTGTGACTCCAGAAGCTTAGTATAGTTTGATAAAATCCTGCAAAAATGTTCAAAACTTCTAAAAACTCCCAGCAGAGAAAATCGACCTTGCTTCAGCGTTGCTTTGACAACTCGTTTGAGTTTGCACAAGATTTTCTTTGTAACAAGAAACAGAAAAAGAAGACTTTTCAATCTGTAAACATGAACACCTTATCCCTCATGACTTAATAATTACATATATTTCATTAGTTAAAGGTTAAATTAAAGGTTTGTTTGCCCATATATTTCCTGCCTCGTGTTTCTTCCCTGTGTAGTGTCTGTCTAATACAGGCCCTAATGGATTTAGTCAAAGTGTTCGCTTTCCTCAAGACCACAAATGTGCCGAACCACAAACGACGGGAGCAATCTGACATCTGCTCTGTTTGCCAGGGAAGATCTGGGGGCCGCAAAGGAGAGCGCCAGCAGCCCCTAATCTACCGTCAGGAGCATGTTACTTTGTTCAGAAGTCTCCGCTTTCAATCGCTCTTTGTGTTGTTGTTTTTCCTGCTTTCAGTTTCCTCACATGTCCTGTGCCTGTGCACACTTGTACACTTAGGACACACTCAAACGCAGCACTCCCAAACCCCCCCACCCTCACACCCGTCTTCTCCTCTCAGCATCCCTCCTTTTTCCCCCCTGCCGGAAGGTATCGGGTGGCTTGAGTGGGCCATTAGTGTGAATGACTGATAAGACTCTTAGCCCCCAATAATCAGGGGGAAAAAAAATGATATTTGCAGTTATTTTGAATCCGTCAGAAATAATAAACCCAAAACTATATCCACTTGGGCTACTTAAGCAATTTCCCTGTGATAACATCCCGTGGGGATTTCATGTGGATTCCAAATGACGACATAATAAAACCACGACGCCTGCACCCCCTTATCAGGCTGGATTAAAAGGGAATAATGAAACAGAGAGAGGTTTTTGAGCCTTGTGTGGTATGAATATGATTATCTAATGGACTCCAATGGAAAGGCATGTTAATGCTACTTTAACGCGAGACCTTTCCCAGACTATCTCCTGCCCCTGGCTCCTCCTAAGACCCTGTCTTTCCTCCCCCCCCACTCGACCCGTTTCTCTGCCTCTTTCTCCTCTTCCTTTAAGTTTAAATAATCGTTCTGCTATTTCCACAGAAGTCATTATGCTCCGCCGTCTATCTGTGCATGGACGTAGGCATGGGAGTGATAAATCCTCGTTTTTCACACTCTTTTCCAGGCTGATTGGGCTTCGTTGGCCTCTTAACTTTCAAACAAAAGCACTCTAGGCAATTTATCAACATTCAAATTTTTTCCTTTTTTCCCGACGTTGTTGCTTGAAGAATATGGGTCACTTTCATACGAGCTTATAGCAAACTTTCCGAGCATCCAGTCGGATATTACACGATGCTTGCTTTGAATAAGCATTTGAATGCTCGGCCAAAACAGCCTCAGTGTGAATAATCCCCGGCTATTTAAAAACAGTTTTCCAACACCGTCATTCAGTTTTAATTGTGCGCTCACTGCATGCACATCTGAAGCTGTTGCACCTTTGTTTCAAGGGCAAACAATTACCCGTCCATCACCAAATGAAGATTTACGTTGTGCAGGTTTGCTGTCAAGCTTCTGTTTAGATGTCAGACACATATCAGCGGTGTATGTATTTTGCAATGGGTGCCGACTGATTAAATGCACCTGTTCTTTTGATCAGTAGAAGAAGCCCCTGACCAATTCAGGCCCAGAGTGGGGGGTCATCATCGGGCCCATTAGGGCCGATAACACTCCTTGAGCTCCACGGTCAAGTCTGTTCTCATACAGCCGAGCACGCAGCAGTATTGTGGATCAGCGCACACATCCTAAGAGCAGACTGAGCTCCCACAGGACACAGTTAAAAAAAAAGCATCAATATTTCATCAAACTACTCTCTCTTTCTGGTCCAGATCAAAGCCTCGACTCCCACAGTCCTACAGGTAGAGATGGCTCTTTTGTTTTTGCTCCTCAGGTAGAGCAGCAGTCAGACTCTGTTCGCTTTTGGAAATCTTGCAACGCTCAGCCCATCCATCTCGCCGCTTGCTGCC